CTTCATTTGATTCAACTGGGTTTAAAGTTGTGAGAGACATTCCTCTTTTGATGAAGAAAGAAATTAAACGCACTGACTCGTTGTATGCTACTCAAATCCTATATAGCCACAACAGTAACCGACGAAGGCAAGGCATTCAATTTCTATGTGGAAGGTAACGAAAGAAGTGGACTTTGCTGCGGATGTTGACATTATAAACAGTGCAGTCATCCATCCCTCAAATAACTCTCCGATTTCAATTATTCCCCAAGATGGCACCCACATAACCCCGCTCTCTACAGAAGAAGTGCTGAAGCTTTTTCGTACTTCCAAGATAACCTCAGGTATTGGTCCTAATGGCCTATCGTCATCAAGTGTGAGACATGATGCTGTTAGTCTGACCGATACATTTACTTCTCTCTTAAACAAATCCTTGAGCTTGTTTTCTATTCCCAAATGCTTGAGATCAGTCACTATTTTTCCTATACCCAAACTTCGTAGTTCTGCTGTCCCAATGAAAAGCATTCGTCCCATTGCTCTAAATTCATCTGGTCTTAAACTCACACAGTGTGCCATTCCTAAACATGTGAATCCTTCCATAAACTCTACCGATGACCTATTACACCTTGTCCATAAACCGAACAGGTCCACAGTGGATGCTATCACTTCCTTAGTCCACAATATAACCAAATCCTTGGATGTATCAGTGAATTCTGTGAGATGTGTTATTCTAGACTATTGGACCACTTTTGATTCTATTCCGCAGTCTGTCCTCCTCCATGAAAAGGAAGCTTTCGGCTGTCCCACACCTTTACTGGCATGGTTGTCTGATTATTTTGCCGGCTGAACTCAGTGCATACGACTGGGTTTTGAAGCATCCAAACCCTTGATGAACAATTGAGGAGAGCATCAGGGAGCTATTCTTTCACCCGTGGTTGTTTTTCACCTACGTTTTTGACCTTTCATTCAGTTCTCCTGCACACTTGTTTAGATGTGCCGATGATGTGACACTTTGTGAGGCTGTTTCTGTAACCCAGAGCTTCAATGACTTTTCCAATAATCTGCCCTGTATGTACCTATTCTCTGTTCGATCCCGTTCAACTTTAGATTTGTCCAAATTCTTTGAATACATATTTTTACCCCTTCTCGATCGGCTTATCCTTCTGACCCATATGTCATTTCCACAGGACCATTAGCTAGAGTGGGTTTGGTCAAGTACTTGGGAATCACTATCAATACGAATTTGAAGTGGTCATCTCACATTTCGAACTGTGTGTGAAGAAACTAACTTGAATCCGAAAGTTTAAGCAATTCAGCGATAGAGTGTTATTTCTCTTTTGTTTATCAATGTTTTTCCTGTTCTACTACTCTATTCCCCTGTTATTTTCGCTGGTCTACCGAGGAAATATTTTAAAATTCTTCGTTAAGGTCCATTTATCATCAGTCGCGTATCTTTTATACCCGTAGATGAACGATCTGCTAAGCTGTTGAAATCACACTTGTCCGCAATTAAACCTTCGCTCACAGAATCCTTTCAGACAGCACTCACCTTTTACACAGTGATCTATGTAAAGGTGACTCTCTCACTTCTACACGTTCCTCCTTCCGACCCATACTCTCTCGTATTGACGTCTACAAAACTCTACAGTTCCATATTTGGCTTGAATCCTCACAAACGGGACACAAGTATCGGCAGAATTTCTTGGCAACTTCATTATGTATTGATTTTTTTATCTCACTGATTCGGTGAGGTGCCATTTGTAGATCTTTTTTGACTGAGACGAGGACTTCTGTCTACGCGAAAGTCTGATCAAATACCAGTACAAAATCTGATTCATCGTGGACTATCAACGCTGTAGTATTGACCGGCTGCCTGATCCAGGGTCGGAGATAGGTTAAAGGAACCACTTTCGGCCTTTTTATTCGAAGATGAACCACTAGCTTTAGGTTGCAAAAGGCAAAAGCTTTGTTCCAGATGAGCCGGTAACCAGCAGTACTGTTCATTCGCCTTCGAAAATACCCTTTAGGGTAAACAGAAGACAACAAGCGGCTGTGGCCTCGTTAAGTAGCGAGCCACGTTCATCAAGTCAGTGTTTTGCACTAGTCTACGTGGTGGTTTGGAGCGCAGAACGAGGAACATCTACCCTTCCGGGGGTAGAGCTGTTGTGATGACTATCATCTCTACGGTGGTGTACGAATACAAGACCTATTGTGTTGTCATAATAAGATATCCATTTATTGTGTTTCAGATTCCGCAACCTCCTCCTCATTGAATAACAACAAACTGGCTTAGTAATTGCTTAGTACCGTAGCAAGCATCAGATTGAGTCTTTAATTTATCACTTGTACAGTAGCCTTCATTTTGGACAGAGGGACAAAACTGAACTAATTTCAACTGAGTCGTCGTGTAGCACGAACGCTCGAATCAGCATTGTAATTCTGTATCAACGTTCATTGTTCAGCCCTTGCGTACAATGTGTTGGGGGATCATTCTCAGAAGATATCTATGGGCAAATTTGCAATTCCCACACACTGACCAGGAGATTATCCCGACTGACGGATCGATAGTTTGCTTCATGTCAACACTGAATCCACAGTATGCATCAGTCCCATGCTCTTTCATTCATACAGAGATCGAATTCTTAGATGATCGTTGGATCAGAAGAAGCGGAAGTTAGGAGAAATTACTTCAAGCAATAAACTAAGATTTCGTGGAAGCATGTTGAAGTACGAGATCAAATTTTCCAGCAAGTTGATGTCCCAGTAAAAATACCGATTCCTTGGTGGCTATTTGCTTGATTACAGTAGTTTGTCTGAGAAAGCCGTGAGGTTAAGTTTTCCCTTCAGTAAAAGGAAAATCCACGGCTAAGTAAGCTTGGTCCCTCGAATCTCTTGCGTGGAGGATCATTCAGGAAGTAATGATTAAGAAAATGGAATATATGAGAGAAACTCTATCGGGTGACGGGAACCAGGAAGACTTCGTTCAAAAGTTTATAGGATGTACCAAAGCAACCTCTGATAACGACTGTCAAAGGAGAATTTCTATTTCGCCGACTGAGAAACAGAATAACCAGTATTGATTTTTCGGACACCGTATGTTCCCGATTCCTCAACTGATCTAATAATCTTAATGACCAATAATTCCAACCTCGAACGGACCAACTCGCGGGGCTTCCACAACCACGTTAACTTCCAAAACACTTTCCTCTATTTCCTTTAAACAAAACTCATTATCACGGCATTTATCTCTGAATTCAATGCGACTGAATTCTGCAGACTGAATTTTTATTTCTGGTTTAGTCAGAACTTCCTCATTAATTGGTCCCCTTTCACTTCTCATGTCATTTCTTATGCAGTTTGCAAGTTGGTTTTCTATTCTGCACCGGACCTTCCTTTTCTCTGTTCACCTCATTCTGTTGTACAAAACTCCAGTGCACCCTACACTCAACTACTGCAGTCACTTGTGGGGTGGAACTTCATCTGCAGCGTTTTCTCTTCTTGATTGGTTTCAACTTGAAGATATCCGGCCAGTCGAGGGCCCTCCACTGATCTCCAATCTGCAGTTGCTGGATCACCTTCGGGCAGATACCCCACTAGTCATTTCCTACCTTCACTCTTTTGGTTTCCTTGGCAGTTCCTCTCCCCCTGATCTTTACTCGCCATTCCCTTACTCAAAAGACTCGTCCTCAGGTTAAGTATCTCCACCTTGCCATCTTCCTTTTTCGGACTACCGAATCGGGGCACACTTGCTCATTCTCTCTTCCACTCGTCTACAATCTTTCTGACTTCAAATGAGATATCGAAAAAGCTAGTTCTGACGTGAGAACTCTCTCCAATTTCTCGCTAACGCTGCTTTTTTTACTATGTAGTTCATCTCGCTATTGTAAATCATCGTGTGTAAGAAAAGGAAAACGTATTTGTCAGCTACAGGTACTTGAAAACCAACTGATTACGTAAGCTAATGTAAAATGTGTACCTTTACAGTTAATTGTTACAGGAAAAATGAGTAACACACCAGCCAACATCCGTGCTCTGGAATACATTCAAGATTGGCAGGAATAGAATACTCAAACTCTGTCCTCTTTTTCTGAGAAAGCTCACATCAAAATCGATTTTTCAGCGAATTTTAGCGTGCAGCTGAAAAGACGCCGTGCTTTAGGATAGATTTGAAGGGCGATTCATAAACAAATCACTTATGGCTCGATTCAGCAACGAGTCGAGAGCGGCCATGAGGTCAACTTGAGACTTTCTCTACCTCTCCGAACAGCAAAGACACGTAACACAAAAGAATACTTGAAAAGTCAACGGTCGACCTAAATTAGCCATCAGAAATACTTGACCATGAAGTTTCACTCGAAGGCACTAGGATTTTTCTATTTCAAGGTCATTGTGGGACTTCAGTGCTGAAGTTCGAAGCAGTTGTTATAGTTTTGTTGACATTATTATTATATGTGCGGTATGTGAAAAAAACGAGAATGAAGAAGAGGATGAGGGTACGGTTAGGAAAAAGATTTTTCCAATGCTTTTGAAAATAACGTTGATGTTGAAATATGATATGATGAAACACATTTTTGTCCGTAGTCGGCAAGAAAATCCTTTTAACATTTCGACGTACAACAGAACTACAAGTACTGCACAGTGGCACCATTTATTATTGTGAAATACATTTTTAATAGAGTAATTTAAAACAGCAACAAGGTAATACCCGTCAATGAAGCAATCGAGAAAGCCTACACTTTGATGTATAGAAAACAATAATATTCGGGAAAATTTGCCCAGAAATATTTCCCTACAGCAAGAAGACCACAATTTCTACCAGTAATTCATTGACTAGGAAAACTTTACTGGAAGCAATACAAACTGATTGGCCAAGAACGCTAGCATTGATCGACATTGTGAGAAGTGCATGTGTCGGGATCAAATGAGTAGAAATGATAACAACATCCATAACATATTGATCATAATTATTATTTATTTTCGACAAATTCTACAGCTGGGGATTTCCGTGATTCCTAATTTCATCAGAGCCTCGGGACGGATTGTGATACACAGTCTGGGTCCACTCCGGATCCTCGAATCCAATCCGCTTTCTGGAACACGACAGGAAGATAACATTAATAATAATAATCATAGCGAATGACCGTGCAATGTTATAGGCAAAAATGTTTGTGGGGTAAGGTAGGAATCGTCAAGCGAACGCAAGATCCAGCCAAATGGAGTCATATCAACAAAGCACAGTAGTTTCCACTTTAAATCAATCTGATTTTTAGGAACAATCATCAGACAGTTCGATGAAACAATTTTTATTGTATCCCAGTACCAGGAAGTTTGCACGATAATTAGTGACATTACAATCCCAATTAGGTGCAGTGCATATATCGCTGATTGGCCGAAGTGCTTCAGCAACTGGTGCTCGATGTTTTATGTTTCTGTAGAAAAACCCGCAAATCAATTATTTGCTTATAGGAGGACATACTCCTGGCTCTGATCAGACGGTCATCATAATCAGTTGTAGATCTTTCAGGCCTCGTGTTCGAAGTCTGCTTGGGCTGCCGGTCACTCTGCTCATCGGACAGCCTCAAATGGGTCGCTACTCTCTTCGTGAAACATTCCATATCTATTATACAGTAGAAATGAAGTAAGTGAGTAAAAGCAAAAATCACCTGTGGGAGGTGCTTATCTCAGCCTCAAAAGCTCGCTGCATTAGTGTGAATAACCAGCCACTATTCCCTGGAATTTGGATGAAAACTACATTGAGTCAAAATAATTCAAGAGCCGTAACGAGCCGCTTTACAGTGGACTATCGTCTGTCGACAAAGTACGTGGTGTTGGCAAGGTTCGGAACTTGTATCTCCTAGGTGATAAAGGGCTTAACTACTCGATTAACACAGGTCAAGAGCAATGTTCTGCGGGCCCCACCAGATTTAGTTAGAAGACTATTCTAACTTTGAACCATCTCGGTTTATCAACAAAAGCAGACTCTTTATATAGGGTTCAATCGTCGCCGATCGTCGATTACCAATCGTCGCACCACAAACCATTTGGTCTAAGCTGATATTGAAGAGCGTCTTTTCTGATTGGTTGGTTGGTGGTACGGCTAGTCACCTCTGCACGGAGATCCTTCCTTGCCTTATAGATCCGTTGTCCTGTCAATCGTGATTCCGTTCGCTCAAACGTTGACCTGAATATTAGGAAGGCGCTGACGGCTGAGTGCTAACGAGACTTGGTTATTTGTTGGCGATGAGTCAGTCCATACTCTCGCAAAGTTTTCGGCTCAATAAGTTGCGTCCGGCCCCCGGAAACCTATCGCCTTGTTAGAAATCAACAAGGTTGTGAATGTTTCATTTTAACATCTTTTTTGTTCACATGGAGTAACATTCAGTCCCATAATTTGTGAGCTTTCAGCTTCTCGGCATCGAAATTTGCATGGAATTTTATCATGCTTTTCTATTTTTATGCAGGTATCTCCATGCTATTCCACGAATGAACCAAGTTGGGTTTCGGCCTTGTGACGCGAAGAAGGGTATCAGTTTTTCCACTAGGATATTTGAATAAAATTCAAGCTAATTAGTCTTTCTGTTGTTGTGCCTAGGAAATGCTGGAGAAATTACAGTCATCAAGGTTGTTGACGTTCTGGATGTGATCCTTTACGTCACGTTCTTTGTTGTATTGATGAATAAGTCACAATAATTACTTTCCGTGTAGTACATTTTACGCCCAGAAAGTATGCATTTAGGAACAAGATTAGAACAGAAATTTCTTGTCTAACTTGGTCTTTAATCAGAAGGTCGAGCCCAGTCGATGCAGGTCATTTTGGCGGTAGACAGCAAACCGCTGGCACTGCTCGTTACCCTAAGTCTGACTTACGGCAGCTTCATATAGTTATCCTCTGCAGACCTCAGGGTCAGTATTCCGGTGATTCTTACTAATACACCTGGCATTCTCCGTATTTGTACCCGTGTATTAATGAGATACTTTGATCGCGCTGGTATGGCAATTCCATTCATGAGAGATACGCATAGCAGCCTACACAGTTGCTCAAGTTGTGAAGTCAGTGATTTCAGGTACCATATTCAACATGATTATGTGATTGACAGAATGATGCAACCCACAAATCAATGGGTAGACTGAAGCTTGTCTATCCGGGGATCCCACTAGGGAAAGAGAGAACCATTTCATAACTGCAAGTTCTAGTTAATTCCATAAGACTGAGGTAGTTACTTGAATGGGCGCTCGCACAATCTTTTGTAGTCGTGTGCATGAACGGCAGCGCTATGCTTAGGCACCGCTCAGTTACCGTCATCAAGCCGTTTCGAATGTCTCAGAATGAACTGTCATGTGATTGGTTGAAGCACAGGGAAAAAGAGGTTGGACTGAGTCACGTACGGAAAAGAGTACATGAGCGAGCCCATTTTCAATGTTGAATCCATTGTGCAAACATTTTAGCAGGTCAGCCGATTGACAAGGCGACTACTGTACTGTACACAACATCGGGCTGTGAAGAAATCTAGAATTTGCATACCCACGTACCGACGTGCTTCGGTCTTTCCCTAGGAAAACGGAAGACTGAAACCGATCCCAATTAATAGTCTTCGTGGTCATCCAAGCTGCTCAAGTAGAGAAACAGAATTTAACCAAGGATTATGAAAACTGTTCATAGTCCATGGTGTCCGTTTACAATTTTATGTTTGTGACCTGCTTCACCATTTTCTTGCCACCAGCTGCATCATTCAAGTTGATAAAACTTAACGAATTGTCAGTTTGATACAGGGGACGTGGAAGACCTCCTTGGATAATTAGAAGTGATGTAATAGAGACTGTCTGTGCAAGAAATAATGGGACTCTCGGAGCAGGTAGTTGTGCTTTCACTACAGATGATGTTAATTTATTGTAAAACAAATTGCCGTTGTTATTTAATTAACCAAACATCATAAAAATACAATCAACGATTGACAAGTACTCAATGATTCTGAAAAGAGTGAGTGGCTAATATGTGCAGGAAAATTTTATTTTGTAGATAGGTTGTCATATGTATCTACGTATTTACGATGAAACAACTTGTTTAGGGGTAGGGGTTGAGTAAACTGAGTTAAAGCGCAAGAAAAAAAAACTGTCATGCCGGGTCTGGTAAAATTCTGTTTTGCTTTTATGTGCTGTGGGACTGGCAACTTCCAGCAGGTAATATACATCAAGGTGGTAGACGATCCCATGAATCTGTAGTTGCTAATGAGGCCCTGATATGACACGGTCAGTTAATCCATCATAACTTTGGAGCTGCTCCGAATGTCGATTGTCTTCTGTCTCGGTTGGGTCCACATGGACCTATGGATGCCACCTGCCCAGCAGTATCACGTGAGCTGTCCATGCTGAGACTCGAAGTCATATCAAGGGATCCCAACGTCCATAAAAAGGATCACACGTTTTATTTTCCCAATTTCAAACGGGTCAGCACAACATTTTCTGACTGGAAAAGCTATATGGGTTCATTTCATGACATAACTGTGAGGTTTACACGTTTAATTTGGCCTGTTTACGTGACTATGACGCTTTAGCATTAGCAACTTCAAAAATTTCACAATAATTTGGTCTTCTGTAATGCGTAAGAAACTTAAGCTTAAGAGGCTGTGCATGTGTTTGCAAAACTAATAACAGGAACGCAAGTTGCACTAGTTAACTGTTTTTTTGTCGTCACTGATCGTGAAATGGACAAGGTCATGTGGACTGAAGACCGCTGCAACGGTTCTTATTTATTCTTGTTTTTCATAGATTATTAGATTAGAGCAACTTTGGGGATAATTTGATTGGAAGTAGAGCAGAACTTGATGCAACGTGATTTCCGAGTTGCATGCAAAAAGGGATATGACCCGGAAACCGTGGGTGAACTTTATTCGTTTGATGGCTTGATAAATTGTTTATTGTACATCGATCAATACCCCAGACAAAAAACCGGTGTCCAAGATGTGACTAAAATAAAAGAACACAGTTCTGGACATTCTCCTCGTTTATCAGTGCATCAACTCGTATTGTCTCATGTGCAAGGGTCATAAGTGACTTTCAGAGGTTAATACCGAACATCCGGACAGGAATAATCAAGAATATGCACAACACTTAAAGCGACTTACATTTTTTGTAAAAAACCGGTCGCACTGAAGTGCATCTGGACTGTATCGAAATAGATTATGCGGTGTCAAATAGAATGCAAGTTTCCCGCCACTTGTCACTGTATTGGGTAGATCTTCATGTCGAGGCAAGTGATAATTTCCCACGGTTACCCATAGAACCAAATCCTGTGTGGAAAAAAGGAATGGAATGGTATTAAGCAGAAGTCTTTGTTGTTTAGAACCGGTGAAAAAAATAGCAATGGATTTATTCGTGGTAGGTTTGCTGTAGGACTGAACGAATTGGGAAATTACTGCCTGTTAGAAAGTAAGCAAAATCGATATACTAGGAAATCTGTTAGTAAAAATTGCTGTTCCTAGTGCTCTACTGAGAGCCAAATAAATCAGGTGTTTAGATTTTCCAGTTAGGACAGCAGACAGATAAAAAGAAAGCCTATTATCACACTAAGTATAGCAAAGATGAAGATTTTCGCGAATAGGATTCGTCAACATATTATCGTCATGGAACAAGTTCTAGACGGATTGTATGTAAGCCTTTTGATCAAAATGCCGGGGCTGAAATTTAGTTCGAGTTATCTTATGTTTACCACATTGTTTCTGATGCGTTTTTCAATTAAGTGTCCTTTAACTATTTCTATGTGTTCTTACTGAGAGCTGCGCTTCTGAACTTACTCAGAAAAAGTATGATGCTTGGATTGCATTGGTGGTCGATATTTGGGTCATGTTTGTTTAATGAAGGACTTTATCATCGTTTAGTGCTCATTGAGGTTAGTCGGGACTGGAATATCTGTAGGGATGGCCAGTATAAAGCGATAAAGGAAGGCAGGAAACCCTTAACTAATAGACGTGATCATGCTAAGCACTTTTGAATCCTTGCAGTTGGTTCACAGAATACAGGCATTTAGTTCGGTACCCTCATACTTGAAAATTGTCTACTATCATTCGCCATCATTACTGATTCTTCTTAGCTTCTAATCTCTTAAGTTCTACCAAAACTTTTCTTTCAAGATAGAAAACAGACTGTTGGACCCAGTTCGTGCTAATCGGTTGTTCATATTAGGACTGGTGGCGGCCTCAATGTTCAGCTGACTTTTTGAATCAGTTTCATGGTTGTCATAGGTTGAAATCCGACATCCTTACAGGAACGAACTTCCCCAACCTTATCGGAAATCGTCACTGGTAAGGAACTTTGTCTCATGTCAGCATTCTTTGCTTTCAGACTCGATTTGTACAGAGAGACTGATGGTATTGGTATGGGATCTCCCCCATCCCCCATTGTAGCAGAACTTCTTATGCTTTCTATTGAATCTAAAGCAGTAATGACTTTTATTCACCCTACTCCTCGACGTACGATATATTGATGATACCTTGGCAGTTGTGAAATTAGAAAAAAAAGAAAGCTTCCTTAGCTGTCTCAACAAACAACGCAGCTATATAAGTTTTACATTATAGACAGAAGACACCCATAGAGTTAACAGTTTCTTAGACTGTCTTCTGGAAGTGAGCAAATCGCGAAAGTTCGGCGCCGATGTTTATAGAAAACCTACACATTCCGATAGGTATTAGCATTTCAGTACAGTTCTTCCACAATGTTTGAAACAAACATTCATTTCCTCATTAGTCAACAGAGCCGAAAAATTCGGCAACCAGGGCACCGGCCGTAAAACAGAATCTATGAAACCTGACAACGTTCTGAAAGACAACTATCCGCCACGCCTTATTAGGAAAGCAATTGAGCGCTTGCAGACTCACAATAAAGATCAAGAAAGAATAAGAGAGGATGGTTTCAACTGGAATTCCATATAGATCAAGCACTTCTCAGGCAATCAGAAAGATCTGCGATGACTTCAATATTCGTAAGTTCTTTCGTATGGATAATACTCTAAAACGCCACCTCACAAAAGCTAAATGTCCAGTCAGGCTGCCGGACCAAAACAACTGCATCTACCGGATCAGTTGTAAGGAATGCCCGGTTGAGTATATTGGACAAACCAGTGGACAATGGGAGATCAAAATAATAGAACGTGGAAGAAAAATAAAAAGCCGACCTTTAGACGAGATAACCTTAGTGAAGCTGGAGCTAGACTCAGTCGTCGCCCTTCACTCCGTAGCAGAGGATAGCAGCATAGATTAGGAAAAAGCAAAAACACTTCAACTTAGATTCAGAACGTGCACTGTGCGCAAGTATGCCAAAGCTCCGTAAGTAAGCTCCAACTTGGCTTATGCGAACCGCGATGACGGGGCAGAGATTTTCCAGATTTGTACATTCCTAACCTCAATGACAAACGAGCATCTCAAATGTTACAACTACGTGAAATATCCTGGTGTTATGCCACAGCATAATCTGAATCGCTGTTTGCACATTGAAATCACAGTGGAAATCTGCTTTGCTTGTCACATCAGATTATAAGGCTACGGCCATTTAGTGCTTCAGCTTTATGAAAACAATTTTTATTACTTACCGTTCTTTATTATCCCTCTGTCATTTTCCAAGGATTACTAAAATAGGACTACGTCACTCTTCACAGAGGATTACGCATCCTTGGTCTTGTTTTCGGTATAGCCCTAAACGACCTAGACTTGGAGTTATGCACTAGCCCCATAACAGCATCCGTTGCGGTTGGACAGAACTTCTTTTCCGATACTTCGCGCCCATTGCATTTTGATCCCACTCTTTGTCAGTCCCAAGCATCGACCTGGCCTGTGTAAAAGCTGCCTCCCTGTAGATTTTCTTTGTACTGGAATTCAGCTGTTCCGTTTCTAGCACGTGTCCAAACAAACAAGCATGTCATTCTGTCTGAAATGAGATCCCGTTTTACTCGGTAACTTACTTTGGCGGTATTGATTGAGCTGAAAAGCATTGTACAACTGTGTTCAAGCTGGCATACAAACAAAATGTATACAAATATACAGATATAGTTGACTTCAACGGTTTTTGATCGCAAACGTCAAAGCACACTGGCGATGTCACCTCTACTGATGATGATACTTTTGCGACCTAAACACCTTACTCAGCGATCAGAAGCCTTTGAAATCCCTCAAACTGAGCTACAACTGGTAGATGAGTATAGCTTGAAAGACAACGGATCACTCATCTACCACACGAATGAATATATACACACTCACGGAAGCATGCACGCACGCCCGGACACAACCATATAATCAACCATCCGTTGACATGCAAAAGTTCCCCTAGAGTTATCCGAATGTAGAATGGCCCCGAGAAAGGTTACCCACGGTAACTGAAACGTTGGTGACTCCCAATGTCTACCATCAAAGGTGTGTTATGAAGATTATAAGGTTCACAATGAGAACAACACACTAAGCAGTGAATTTCGATGCCCACCATGCGTCGCTTTGGTCCATATATTTACGATAATGACTTTTCATACCTGTTGGTTGGAAGATATTTCCCATGCATTTTACTTTCTTTTCCGCCAGTGAATCTTTCATCTCATTCTACCAGTACTTGCGAATTGTTCAATCCCATTTCTGGTAGTGTACAAACAATAATATAAATCGTTTCCGATATTTTCGCTTTTTAAACTATTCCATGTTCCTTATGTAAACTTTTGATGTTCGGTAACACAGCTTTGTCGGAAGATCTGTGAGTCGAACTTTCGGTCACCGGTTACAGGCTTTCAGTCAAATCAGGAGTCCACTTATAACTTGTTACATGCCACATTATTTTTCAGTGCACCCGGAACCGAAATCTTTCCCGATAAGCTTAGGAGTCTATTCTCTGATAATGTTGCGGATTTTGTGGCCACCACAATCATTCTAATGTAAAGACAGCAGTGCGAACAGTACTAAATTCTTACGAGTCAGCGGAAACATAATGTTCTTACGCATGAGAATCGTCTCTGTCCTCAAAGCTTTACAAGCTGGTTTGTTTTTAGTATCATTATTCGTTTCAATTTGAGAGCCATCTCAGCACGTAGTGTATCCGATGGAACAAGGAATTGCCGGCTAAGATAGCCGCATATTGGATCTGGTTGTCGATCAGCTGAGGGGGGATTTTCCCCAGCTAACTTGGTATAAGGAGTAACGTTAGTATTTGCATACACATGGATAGATGTACAGGCCTCGGTCGACTGAATACCTTTTTGGAGGCACAAGAGCTGATGAACTGAACGGCTAACGAGAAAAGAAGTATGTCTCATGTCGCAACTCACAAGCGAGTGAATGTATCAGGTGATTTCGGTACTGTGGATCAATTGTTTAGTGTTGTTTCAGCCAGTGGTAACCAAACGGTTACCCTTGTGGGGTTTGGACCAAAACCACCCGGATTCGATTCCATCCACTACCGGTCACTTTCCTATTTGGTAACCTTTCTTTGACTGCTGCCCTTTTTCTAAATTGTTGTGCATTGTTGTGTAATAGATATAAAAGGGAGGTGAAATGACCAAATATTTTTTTGGACAGAAGCTGCTTTGTAAAACCTATATATATCTCTCTGGCTGTGATTCTGTTTGCTATCTAAGCATGAACAGATGGTAGCCAAAAACTAAGAAAAAAATAAGAAGGTGGAAGAGTACAGTAGGGTACTACTGAGAATAGTGCCAAAGAGGATCAGGAACGTTTACCGAATGCAGAGGGAAGTATAGTACCCACAACACTTCTCTGTTAGTCTAAGTGTTGCCAACCTATGGCTACTTGGATCTCTCGGAATCTGCTGTCACTTATTTAGTCAGTGGTATTTCATTCCACGATCACTGCTGCGCTGGGTTGACATCAACTGTGCGCGGGTCGACGTTGAGATGTCCTCATCCTATAAGCCAAGACCAGCGATCATACTGTGGTAAGAACAATATCAGTTTTCAAAACCACTGAAAATAGTATCAGTGTATGCTTCATTTTCTCGAAATGGTTCACACCACGGAAGAAATATCCGAGATATTGATATGAGCTGGTTCGATCCTGTTGCGTATCCTGTTTTCGATAAGCAGAAAAGTAAATACAAGGTGGTCGTTTGTCCGTAGTTTGTGAGCTAATCTGAATTAAGAGTGTCGAGAAAGTTGAACTCAATGCACAACAAACTGCAAGGGAGATTGTTTGCCTGTGACTTTTTTAATTTATTCATGGTGAATTTTGCGACAGTTAAATAAAGTGGTTACATACCATTCTGATGTCCGGGTAAATACACTAGGTACTCAACATTCTTAGGA